TCCCTAACCCCTGGAAACCACTGATCTTTTTACTGTCTCCATAGTTTTGCCTTTTCCAGGATGTCATATTGCTGGAATCATACCATATGTAGCCTTTACAGTGGCTTTTTTCATCAAGTGATATGCATTTAAGATTTCTCTATTCCTTTTCCTGCCTTGAAATCTCATTTTGTTGTTGTTGCTTTTGTTAAATTAAACAACAGAAATTTATTTTCTTACAATTCTGGAGTGTGGAAGTCCAAGATCAAGATGTTGACAGGCTAGGTTTCTCCTAAGGCCCCTCTCCTTGGCGGGCGAATGCTGCCTTCTGCTGTGTCCTCACATGGCCTTTTCTCTATCTCTCATTGCTTTTTTTAAATCACTGACTAATACTCCATTGTATGGATATAGTACAGTTTATTTATCCGTTCACCTACCGAAGGACAACTTGGATGTTTCCAAGTTTTGGCAATTAGAAATAAAGCTGATGACCTAGTGTGCAGGGTTTTTAAAAACCCTTTCTTAAACTTTTTTGTTGTGGTGGTAAAGTATACATAACTTATAAAACGTACCATTGTAACCATTTTTAAGTGTACAGTTCAGTAGCATTGAGCACATTCCCATTGTTGTGCCACCATCACCACTATTCATCTCCAGACCTTTTTCATCATCCTAAACTGAAACTCTGTATCCAGTAAACAATAAACAGCCCCTGGTAACCACTGTTCTACTTCCTGTCTCTATGAATCTGACTACTCTAGGGACCTCATATAAGTGGAATCATACGGTATTCGTCCTTTTGTATCTGGTTTATTTCACTTAGCATAATGTCTTCAAGGTTCTTTTTACACTCTTTTTTTTTTAAAGAAATTTTATTGCAGAAGAGTGTGTTTTTGCAGGACCCATCAGGTCCAAGTCAAGTAGTTGTCTTCAGTGTAGTTGTGGAGGGCGCAGCTCTGTGGCTCATGTGGGAATCGAACTGGCAACCTTAGTATCGTGAGCCTGCGCTCTAACCACCTGAGCTAACCAGCCACTCCTGCACTTTTTATCTTGAAATAATTTTAGACAGAAAAGTTGCAAAAATAATAGAGAGCTCCTGTATACCCTTCAACCACCTTCCAGTAATTTTAACATCTTTTGTATCCATAGTGAAATAATTATAAAAAAGGAAATTAACACGCTTAACTCTAAGACCTTATTGAAATGTTGCCAGTTTTCCTATTAATGTCCTTTTCCTGGTCCAGGACCCAATCTAGGATACCACATTTCATTTTATTGTCGTGTTCCCTCAGTCTTCTTCAGTCTGTGACAGGTCTTCAGTCTCTGTCTTTAGTGACCTTAACACTTCTGAAGAGTTCAAGTTTATAGAATGTTCTTCAATTTGAGGTTTCCAATTATTAAAACTAAAATTATTTTATATATTTTATAAAAGCTTATATAAGAATCTATATTTTATAAATTTGTATTGTAATAATTTTTATATCTTATAACATCTTATGTGATTTATAATGTTAAAATTATTTTCACTATTAAATTAAGTTTATACATTTTTGACAAGAACATCATAGCCTATGTCATGTCCTCAATGCATCATATCAGGGGCACATGATGTCACCATATCTTATTATATAGAATGTTAACTTTGATCACATTGCTGATAGAAGGTGGCATCTTCTAGGTTTTCCACTAAAAACTTATTTCTACCCTTGTAATTAATAAATATCTTGTGGTGAGAAGCTTTGATGTTATGCAAATGTTCTGTTTCTTCTAAAACTTTTCATCTATTCATTTTAGCATCCATCAATGGTTCTTGCCTGCAATAATTATTATTGGCATTGTAATGGTAATTTTCTATTTCCCTTATTCCTTCTACATTTACTAATTGTAATTATTCTATAAGAAAGAATTCTCCTTTTCCATTCATTTCTTTATTCAATTATTTATTTCTATCAACATAGACTCATGGGTTTTTACTTTATTCCATGAGGCAGAAATCAGTACTGTCATGATTTATTTTCTTGCTCAAATTCTACCAGCTTTGGCCGTGGGGAGCTCCGGCATGTTGACTCCTGTGGCCTTTCATTATGCCTCCTGTAATTTTTGAGCACTTCCTTCATTTCTGACACCCCAAGATGTTCCAGGCTCATCTTGTAATTTCCCAGCCTCATCCTTGGAATCAGCCATTTCTTCTGGGAGCCCTGGTTCCCATCTTTGAAGAATGGTATTTAGACACCAAATTCTAGACTACAGGTGTGTTCATTTCTCCTGGGCTGTCATGTTCCTACACCCTCTCAGCTAATAGAGCTAGGAAATACATGTTTCTATGCTAATACATACATATCTGTACTTCCTGGTATATCTACCCATCTATATTTATTTAAACTCATGAGTTCATGCTGATACCTCCAATTCCACCAGCAGGATTCATTTAAACCTTCTTCTTTTTCTTATTTGTAGCATCTTCCTCTGACAGGGAGAAATGGCTGTCATTATCTACATCTATTTACTTATTTGTTCAAAGTTAGTAGACACATAAGTAGCTTTACTTATGTGGAATTACTAACCTGTAAAAACAATTACTTGCATTAATTTCTTCCTACACCCTTCAGTATGGTTATGTTATTCATTTGTAATAGAATTAGGTTCATTTCTATTATTTGTATTCCATTTGGGGTTCCCCCTCCACGTCCTGGTTGATTTTAATTATATTTATATTTATATTTCTTTTTAAATTTTTTGAGGGGGGTGTATGTTAAATACTACCATGGTTCCAAGAATCAGTGCTCTACCGAAAGGAATATTCAGCAAAGCATTGCTCCCGTCTCATCCCTACTACCCCATCCCATTCCCTCATCCTTTCCACCCGTCCCATCTCCCCCTACAAATAACCCATCTCATAAGTTTCCGATTTAAAAATATGGGACATTTCACAAATTTTGCAGGTCCTACTTGTGCCAGGGCCAAGCTAATCTTCTCTATATCGTGCTAACGTTAGTGTATATGCTGCTGACATTGAGCACCGGAGTGACCCTCTTGAAGCAGAAATCAGATCATGGCATCTCTGCTCAGAACCCTCCAGCTGCTTCCTGCTTCCATTAGACTACAAATCTAACGCCTTACCCCACCTTACCTCCTCCCTTTGAGGCCCTTCATGACCTGGCGTCAGTTTCCTGTTCATTTGCTCTGCCCTGTGCCCTTGCGCACTCTGTCCAGCCACACCTGCCTTCTTGCTGCTGCCCACATGCCAGGGGCTCCCATGCCTTCAGGATTTTGTCCTTGTCCTTCCCTCGGCCTGGAACGCTGCTCTCCCCCTAGGAAACATTCTTCGTAGTGGCCTTCCCTAAACAGATGTCCCACCACCCTCTACCTCTTTTTCTGCCTTTGTCTTCATTCCTGGTACTCATCATTACCTGGCATCTGTAATATATTTGTTTATTGTCTGTCTCCCCCACTAGACCATAAGCCCCACGAGGCAAGGGCTCTGTTTTGTTCACAGCGCTTAACAGGAGCGCCTGGCACATAGTCAGTGGGCAGCTGGTACACATGTGGTGAATGAAATCTGTGTCAAATCCTTTACGTGCATTATTTCATTTAATCCTCGCCCCAAAATAGATGAGTACTATTTTGGTTCCAGCCTATAGATGGGAGCATGGAGGTTCGAGGGATCAAAGGCTTGCCCCAGGTTTACATGACTGGGAAAGTGTTGGCTGGAGACCTGGTGCTAGTTCTCTCTGAGTCCAAAGCCCATGCTTCTGCCTGTGCTGTGCTACATATAGCATGTGTTTGTAAACTGGGGGGTTAGTGGTTGCACTTGCCGCACACAGTGATTGTAAAGATGTAACATGAGTGCATTTTGGAAACTGTGAAGCACTGTACATATATGAGCATTATCAATATTATTGCTGTAATTGTCGTTACCATTCATTAAGTACGCACAGCGTACCATCATCTGTCAGCTAATCCTTACGGCAACCTCATGAAAGTCAAATGAAACAAATGGGAACTCAGGAAGAGGAGGTAACTCGCCCAAGGGGACAAAGCTGGTTAAGCCTGGCCATCTCACTCTAGAGCTGGAGTGTGCAGCGGCCTCACTCACCGCTTCCCTGTCCCTAGCAAGGGGACATCCCAACACGCCTTTGGGAACTCCTTGTTGCTTTTTCGCTATCAGGTAACCTATTCCTGGAATCCCAGGAGGAGTTGGAGCGAGTCTATAAGGTCTACTGTGCCAACTACGACCAGGCCTTGCAGCTGGTAGAGTCGTACCGGAAGGACCCAGAGCTGCAGCGGGAGATCCAGGACGTCATTACGGCAGTGGTGTGAGTACCAGGACCAGGGAGCACCCACTCCCTCTGCACTGACCCCAAGGTCAGGCTGGGTCGTTGAGATCTCCCCTCCATTTGAGGCTGCTCACACTGCTTCAGGAGTGTCTCAGTCAGGATGAGCTAGACTATGCTGCAGAAAAACACAGCTCCCAATTCTCGGTGACTGCTTCAAACCACAAAGGTTTACACCTTCCTTTTGCTCCACTGTGGGTTGATTTGGGGCTCTTTGCATCATCCTCACTCTGGGACCCAAGCCGACAGCAGCCCCCATTTGGAATATTGCTAGGAACTGAGGCAAAGGAAAGCAGAGCTTGGGGGACAGGGGTCTGGGGTGGGGTGTCTAATGCTGGTAATTGAATGCTCCAGCCCAGAAATGAGATCTATTGCTTCTCAAAATTCACGGGCCACAACTAATCCCATAGCTTCATCCAATGACTGAGAGGCCATGGAGTGCTATCTGCCATGTGTCCAGAGGTGGAAAAGCAGAAACAGTTGGTGAGCAGCTCTCGTGGCTACCATAGGAAGGGCAGTGAGATGCAGGGAACCATGTGCTGTAAACAATAGTGTCGGGAAGCAGGTGTATATCACCTGGGTAGGCCTCTCTACAGATGGCCGAAGTCCTGCCTCGTAGAAAAGCATCAGAGCTGCCCTGGGTAGCATCACAGCAAACGCTGGGACCACTGGGCGGAAGCTTCAGGTAGAGATATGTAGAGAGTACGTTTTTTTAATGAAAATTTTGAATGGGTAACATAATTACATGGTTCAAAAGCTTTAAAAGATCTAAAATTATACAGTGAAAAAAAAGTCTTCCCAACCCTTTCCCTTTATCCACCCAATTACTACTCCCATCCCCAAAGTTAAGGTGACCACTTTTAAATTTTTTATGGATCTTTGCAGAGTTCCTTTATGCATGTACAAGCAAGTTCAAATATGTACTCTTTAATAACTGCACAGAGTTCCTTTCCAGGGCAGGTGTATGGTTTATTTAACCATTGTCCCTCTTGGTAGATATTCGGATTGTTTCCAGTTTTTTTACTGTCATGCATGCAGTTACTGAATAACTTGTACCTTTAACTTCTACCTTGCTCACTTGAGTTGATATTTCTGTGAGTAGATTTGTAGAGCAGGATTGATGGAACAAAGGGTTTATATATTTCACATGCTGCTGAACTGCTCTCCAAAGAGATCTCACCAATGGATACTCTCACCAAGAGAATGTAAGAGGGCTTGCTTCCTCACACTCACCCAGCTCTGGGTATTATCTCATAATTTTTGTTGCCTATCTGAAAGGCAGCATACAAATTTTTCTACAAACCACCTTCGAAAGGCTGTACGTGTACAAGGCTGCCATCATTCTATGGTGACTCCTTGATGATTGTGGAGAAGTGATGCGATCACTTTGAAGACCCCCTGCCCTCTGATTTGTGAGGTGACATTTGTCCCCATGAGGCGGTTGGTCCTTTCCCACAGGAAGTAAGCCCAGAGGACAGAGTTTTGCAAATATCTGGCAATTGTTTCTCTCTCCCCTGCCCACGGTCAGCCAAGCACTAGGAAACGCTTGGTGAGAGCAGATGGTCAGCGTAGGTGTGTCCTGATGGTTGATCCCAGCCCTGCCCCCCCACCCCTTGCAGGTGATGAGGGGGCTCCCATCTGCTCTGCCTATTTTTAGTCTCCTGGCTGACCTTCCCTGGCCATTTGGTCTGGAGGTTTTTCCTCGGAAAAAGAGCAAGAGGCTAGGGTATCATGGAGAGGGGGCCAGAGAATGGTCGTGAACAGCGTTTGTGAGTCTTCTTGGAGGAAGTATTCTTGGACATTGAGATTTGAAACCCTCACAGGTTTCTTGAAAGGCAGGGCTGAAGGGCTACTGGTCACGATCAAGATAAGACTGTTGGAGATGTCCCAGATGCTATGACTTGGGCACTCTTTCTGCAAATGCCAGCCTTCATCAAGAAGGGGATCAGAGAAATAGGTATCCGTTCATGAAATAGTGTATCTGGAAGGGACCTTGACACCACTAGGTCCTGTGTTTTTTTTTTGTTCTTTACTTTTTTTAATGGAAAATTTCAAACCTGTAGAAGAAAAAATAGAAGAATGTAATGAGCACTTGCATACCTACCACCTGAAATGAACCAGTGTTAACATTTTGCTGTTTGTTTCATGTACTTCATGCTGAACTACTTAAAGGCAGTTACTGATGTTATGACTTTTTCTCTTAAATATTGGGTCATTGGAAAAGTCATGACACATTTTTGCAATGCAAAACAGAAAAAATACGTCATGACTTTTCTGACAACCCAATAGTTTGAATGCACCTCTAGTCATTAAGTTCCTGTAGTTTGAAAGCTTTTCTTTTCTAAAGCAGCAGAATCATTTTATGAAATGAAATGTCATGTGGATGCCCAACATAGAGTTGTGCTTGGGACATAGCCCAGTAGAGATGTTAGATACTCGCAGGCAGTTGACTGTGTGAGTCTGAAGCTCTGGGCAGAAGTTCTGAGTGGGGATTTGGGTTTGGGATGCGTCAGACTAAATAAGGTCAGTAAGAGAGTGGAGGAGAGGAGGCCTTGATCACCCCAGCACTGCAGACAGGCCGGCAGAGCTGGCCAAGCGAGCGGCCTGTGAAGTACGAGACGTAGGATGCAGGGTGTCTCTGGGGCCAAAAGAAGGACATGTTTCGAGAAAGAGGGAGTAGCCAGCTGTGCCTGTTGTTGAGTGAGCAAGGAAGCTGAGGGCAGAGACTGATCGTTGGGTTTGGCACAGATGGGGAACCAAGGTCCAGAAAGGGAGTAGAAGGAAAAGGAACAGTGTCTGTCTAACCTCTAGACCTCCCAAATTACAGATGAGGAAACTGAGAACCACAGAAGGAGATGACTTACCTGAGATCACTCAGTGAGTTCAACGGCAGAGCTGGAACTAGAGCCCAGGCCCCCTGGTGCCCCAAAGGGTGAATTTTACCTACCTAACACCAGCCTTCTCCCTCAGGCCGCAAGCCGGACCCTCAGGCCTCAGTTTCTTACTGGTAATCCCTATGCAGAGGATTACCAAATACCCACTGCTGCTGCAGAAAATCCTGGAGAACACACTGCCTGATGCCAGTGCCTTTCCTGTCCTGCAGAGGGCTGCCTCTGCCCTCCAGGACGTGAACACCAACATTAATGAGTACAAGAGGCGCAAGGAAGTGGGTAAGGACTTAGAGAACTTAGAGGATACATCAGTGAGCATACTTCCAGTTATTAAAAAAACTCATCTTGAATTGGCTTTGCCAATAAAGGGGATATCGTAGCTCATGTAACCACAAGTACAGAGGTAAGTGGTCTTTAGCTAGGGTTTGATCAAAGTGCTGGCTCAGGTCCCTATAATTCTCATCTCTGCTCGTTACTATGTGTCACCTTCATCTTCAGGCTGCCCGCCCTCTTAGCAGTAAATGGCTGATGCTGTTCCAAGACGCACATCTGCATACCACACCCCCAAGATGAGACAGAGCCTTTCTCCCTTTAGCCATAAAAATTAAATTGGTGCTTCATTCTGATAGGACCTGCTTGGGTCATGTGCTCACCCTGAACCAATCACCATGGTTAGGGGAATACCATGAGCTGACTGGCTTAGGCTTGGCTTACTATGTACTTGTCTTTGAACCAATCACTGAGGATGGGATTATATGGATTGGTTTATACCATTCAGCACCCATCCCTTTAACTATAAAGTGAGATCAATCTCATCTTAACCACATGGCTGGTCTACTGTGAAGGAGAGAAGAACCCTGGGGAGGCAAAAGGCTGTGTATATACCTTGACGGGAGGGGGGGGGTGCGTGGGACGGGATGGTCAATAGAGACCCTGCCTCAGGTTGTTAAAACAGAAAGGTTTGGAAAATGAAGCAGTGTCCCAAATGGAGAGAAGCTCGTTTGCACAACTGAGGAAGTGTAATAATGATCATGTAACTAATGTTTGTTAAGGGCTAGGACAGATCTTTCATTCATTGTCTTGTTTGATCTGTACCATAGTCCTCTGAGGTTGGCACGTTCGCCTCATTTCACAGTTGGGTAAAATGAGAGCTTCAGTCATTTGCCCCAGATCACGGAGCTGGTAAGGGACAGAGCCAGGTTTCAAACTCAGGCCTGGGGGAGGCACTCAGCAGAAAGCTCGGAGCCAGGAGGGGAAAGCACGGTCCCAGCCTGGCCAGGCTGGCGGTGACTGAGGGGCCTCTGGCAAGTCACCTCCTGCTTGGGTTCTTCTTTAGAATATATTCAGACCCATCTTATGTAGTCCTCCCAGCAACCCTGCGAGCTGGCTGGCCTCGTTTACAGAGGAGGAACCTGAGGCCCAAGAGGTGGTAACTTGTCCAGTCCAGCAGGCAGGAAGCTGTTCAGCCAGGGCTCATACCTCGGAGTGAGGGCTCAGCCCTGCGCTTGTNCTTTTTAACAGTGGTATCGCCTAGTTAATAGGGACTGGAGTTCAGAATACATCTCAAGGTCATGGTGGTAGGGGCCAACTATGTTAGAGCTGGAAAGAAGTCTAACTTCTTACCCTTATATGACACATGGGGAAACTGAGAGAAGAAAAATCATAGTTGGCAGCAGACCTAGGATAAAACCCCAGCTCAGCTTTCCTTCCATGCTGAGAGCCCTCCATCTCTTCCTCTCGTCCTGTAGCGCAATGGAAATACCTAAATTGTAAAATTTCAGAGTCCTTGCAAACATCCCACTGGGGCAGTCTTCCAAAGACTGATGGGCCCCTGAGGGTGTAAGTGTTCTGGTCCGTTCTCCAAAGCCTGCAAATGAAGTCACTCTTCTGACCTCCCAGTTACCTCCTATGACTTCTTTGTTCCTTCCAGCTGCCACAGGGAGATTTGGATGTCCTGTTCTCAAACATTGATGACATCATCAAGGTGAACAGCAGATTTCTTCAGGATCTGCAGGACACAGACTCCAAGGAAGAGGAACAAGTACAGCTAATTGGTAAGCAAAAGACGAGGCAGCAGTCAGCCTTAGACTCCCGTGGAGCTGTCCTCGGCATGTTCATTGCTGAACTGTCTCCAGAGTTCCAGGGAAATGCAGCTCAGTGGGCGTCTGTGTTTGGGATCCCTGAAACATGGCATGTCAGCACTGGCAGGACCCTCAAATAATATCCAGTCCAGCCCCATCGCTTTACAAGATGGAGAGTACAAATGCTTCACATGTAGTAGCCATTTGCATTCTCACGACACCATTACTTATTGATTATCATTATCCCCATCTTACTAAAGAAAACCCTGAGGTTCAGAGAGGTCAAGTAACTTTCCCAGGGTCACACAGCTTGACCAGNGAGGCCCAAGAGGTGGTAACTTGTCCAGTCCAGCAGGCAGGAAGCTGTTCAGCCAGGGCTCATACCTCGGAGTGAGGGCTCAGCCCTGCGCTTGTCCTCGGGGACTCGCCATTCTAATGGGTATGACCCTGATGTGTAGGAAGAGGGCCCAAGAGGGTGCCTAGCCAGGTGTGTCGGGGACGCCTGCACTCCTGGGCCAGCTTCCGTCCCCATGCCCTCCCTCTCTGTTGGTGCAGCCTCCAAGTACACCAGGGTGGAGCAGCTGACCCTCCGGGAGCGACTGGCCCGCATCAACACACACACCCTATCCAAGAAGACCACTCGGCTGAGCCAGCTGCTGAAGCAGGAGGCAGGGCTCGTGCCCAGGGTGAGCATGGGTGGGAGGAAGGGTCACATCCCAACCACCCCAAGGGGCAACCGAGACTGTGCAGTGGGTGCACCACGGGGCTTCGACTGCTTTCAGAGATAAGGAAACTGAGGCTAAGGGCGCAAAGTGACTTGTCAGCATTTGATGGCTAAGAAGAGGCAGAGTTGGCACCCCACTTGATTCTGAGGAGCCAGGCAGGGTAGGGCTTCCTCCCCTGCATCTTATGCTACTCTCTCTCTGAGGCCTCTGTACACAGATAGGAGAACTGATCTCTGGGTCTGGGCACAGAACCAGCTTTGAATAGCTACCAGCAGCAGCTCAGGTCGATCCAGTACTTACTCTGAACCAGGCATTACTTGATCCACACAATGAAGTAGATGTTTTTATTACTCCTGTTTTGAAGATGAGAGGCTCAGAGAGGGTAAGACACTTGTCCAAGGTCACACAGCTAGGTAGCAAGTGAATCAGGATTCATATGCTCATGTGCTTAATTCCGTGGTCTTAATACAAAACCACTAAGCTGCAGCCACTGCCGTTAACTGTCCCTCTCACCTTTGGGGCTGGAGGAACTGGCTCTAGTGGGCAGGTCTGTGGAAAGCGGGTCCTCAGTGAACGCTTGGGACTCAGGCACAGAGTGTATACTGCCCCATGTGGATATTCTGAGTCCTCACAAGCATTACTTTACTCTCAGACAGAAGATAAGGAATTTGATGATTTAGAAGAGAGGTTCCAATGGGTCTCACTGTGTGTGACCGAGCTGAAGAACAACATGGCTGCTTACCTGGATAATCTGGAGGTGAGGATCCTGCAGTTAATAATGGGCAGGGCTTGGCTGGTTTCCCTGGGCGGGGGGTATTCAGGGCCCATCGGACCATCTGACAGAGGCACCAGCTGCAGGAACCAAATGGACCAGGTCATCCAGTGGCTGGTTGCAGGCTAGAAGAGGGCCCATGGGCAAGCTCTCCTCAGCCCACAGGTCATCGGACTGGGGCAGCTCCTGAGCCCATTGGGCTCTCATGGGGTAGGGTTCCTACTAGGCAGGATCAAAATGGACTGGGGTCAGATCCCTCAGAGGGACCCTGCCAGACCAGCACCGAGAGCAGGTGCTTAAAACTCAGGTGCTTAAAGGGACCAGGCAGGTAATATTACTGAGTGAAGTGTGCAGGTGTACAAAGCCTAATGCCTGTTTATGAGACTTCTTTGGTCGTTAAATAAGTACTAATATTTGGAATTTGAATGACTGAATGAACAAATGAATGAGTAAAATCTAAAGGGGCAGTTACTTCTTGACTCACGGAAGTTGTTGCTGTGTGCATATATGGGCCCAGTGCAGTCAATTCTGATTTTAAGGAAAAAAGAAAACTCTAGGATTTCAGAGTTTTAGGCGAAATCTCATCCGTGTGAGCAACTAATGAAACAAACATTTAAATGTTGTGCAGGCCCAAGAAAATTTATTTCTACAAACTGAATTCAGCCCACAGAAATAGAAGGTTGCATGCCCAGCCAGCACGTCCCTTTTCTTGCGCCAAAGTCTCTCCCTCATTCTTGTCATCGGTGCTGACTCATTCCATCCACTCTGTCCCTTTTACGTGGTTTTGTTCTCAGTCGTGTCCATTTGCGCAAACAATATCAGTCAGATGAAATGGGCTGCTTGGATCATTGGACTTGGGCCTTATCGGAAGCATGCACAAGGAAGGAGGTGGCGGTGTCACATTTCTCTGCATTGGCCGGGCTCCCGGCTTGTTCCTGCTCCATCCGGGGCCCCCCAGTGGAAAGATATGAGCAACACAGGTTGCTGCAAGTGGAAAACACTCAGCCATGTCAGGAAAAAGAATGGAGGGGCCTTGACAGAGAGAACCTGGAGGCACATGAGAGACGCATCTGGCTTTGCAGGAAAGGACGAATATTTGGAAGCTTTCAGGCTGCATTTCCCTAGATGCAGGGATGCTTACACGAGATACAGTGTTGACATAGAATCCCATAGTGAGAAAGTGACTCCCTCTCTTAATCCTCTGAGTCCAGGAAAAGCCTCTTTTGCTGGCGTGTCTTTAACACAGGCAGAGCCAGTCTTGGGCTGGCAGCCTTCAGCAGGCAGTGATGCCCAGACAGGACTTAACAACTTTGTTTTTATAGGAATTATTTTTACAAGCCTATTTATGGCAGTTATTACTGGTTTTCCCTTTATGGTAGTGTCAAAAGGTTTTTGTTTTGTTTTATTTTGAATGTATTGATTTAAATAGGAATGTTTAGTTGATATAAAGAAAAGTATTAATAAAACATGTGGAATATGGATATGGGAAAAAAATCACAAAGGAGGTATGCAAATGTGTGAAGTTTGGGAAGTGCTGGAATACGGAGAAATATATTGGTGTAGTCTCACAAAGAGCTTTCGAATCAACCCCGTTGCCCAAGGATAGAACAGGCTGTATGCTTCCCTGTCATGGGGGGGTGTACAGACAGCCTGGACAACCTCTCTGGGCATATGGTGGAGGGGGATTCAGGTGTGAGATGACCATGACAGGCCATGATTGACTGTCTCTCATGTCCCCGGGTCCAGGCTTTCGTCCGCTTCCAGCCACAGGAATGTGACCTGGACATCCCCGAGGGGCCGGTGGTACAGTACTGCAACCTGGCGAGAGACCTGCAGCTCCAGGCCTTCCCTGAGTTCGTGAGTGGAGCTTCTCCTTGCGTCTTTCTGTGGTGGGCAGGTGACAGAGCCTGTAAGAGTAATATTTAGATGTCAGGCCCTTCACACGATTGTCACATCCTTATAAACCACCCTGGGTAGTCAACAGGGCAGAGATTATTATTAGTGTGTTTTACTGATAAAAATAGCCCCAGCTAATGTTTACTGAGCCTCACTGTCTGCCAGGCACTGGGCTAAATCCTTTCCATTCTTCACCTCATTTAATCCTCACAGCACGGCTTCCGGGGTAGATGCTATTAATAGCCCCATTGTGCAGATGAGAACTGAGGCTCAGAGAGGGGGACTGACAGGTTATTTCGATAGTCAATGGCAAACTGGGATCTGAGTCCCAAAGTCTATGCTTTGGACCACCCACTCTATAGAAAATCTTTTTCAAGGTCTGTGCACAGTAGTGACATTAAGAAGTGGCATATTGATTCTGTGCCAGGTACTCTGCTAACCTCATTACCTGCATTGTCCCCATTTTCCAGATGGGTACATTGAGGCCCAGAACCATAAGGTAACATGCTGGAGGTCACAGCTAGTCATTGGGGGTTAGGACCAGAGCCCAGGCCTGCCTACCTGGCTACTAAAGCCCCTTTACCCAGGGCCCACCTTCTGCCACCTTTTTCTCGGACTCCTAAGCTTACCTCTCCTCACAGAAGCAGCGGCTGGAAGGCCTGGTTTGGCAGCCACTGTGCAGCCTGACCAAAGCCCTGGCTGGCCCTCAGAACCTGATCAAGAAGCGTCTGGACAAACTGCTGGACTTTGAGCGGCTGGAACAAAAGCTGTTGGAGGTGGGCAGTGCGACCTATGAGGAAAATGAGGCCCGGCACACATACCAGGCACTCAACTCCCTGCTCGTGGCTGAACTCCCGCAGTTTAACCAGCTGGCTGTGCAGTGGCTGGGCCATATCCTGCGTACGTTCATGGCTCTTCAGAGGGACCTTGCAAAGCAAGTGCTGCAGAAGGCAGAGGGCAGCTTGTCCCAGGTAAGGCCTCTGGGATTGGGGTGCCTCTGGGGAATAGCCAGGCAAGGCCTCGAAGACCCTTCCGCTGGGATGGGATGGAGGCTGGGTTTTCCAAACAGGCCATCAGGTGCTCGGGAGAAGGCTGTGGGGTCCTTCTGGATATCTTTCATGCCTGTTCTCCCTCCATTAATGGAATCAGACCATGACAGCAACGATAGAACTGGACTCCAGGTCATTGCCTGGCTCTGGAACTCAGAAGCAGAGGAGGCTTTTCTGGGAAAGTAGCAGACCTTGGGCCGTCCCCTGGGGTGCATTAGAAGTTGCAGTCAGGGGTAAATGTGTCCAGCTGATATTCCTGCTCCTACCGCTACTTCTAGCAGCTGCCTCCTCATTGAACACTTATTGTGTACCTGATTGGAGCATCTTCCGTGCGTTATCTCACTCCTCAAACAGCCTAAGTTTTAGTATTTTCCTTATTCAAAAGGACACTGAGGCACAGAAACGTTACGGGGTCTGCCCAAGGCCACACAGCTAATAGTGAGATGTGAACCCTGACATTTCAGCTCTAGAGCCTGGGCTCTGGACCAAATGCTCAACAGCCTGTAAGAGGAGCTTGCAAAGAGGGTTGCACAAACCTCCAAGTGCAAACTTTGATTTGGGAATTTTGAAGACTGGGATCGATATATGAAAGAACCTGTAGGTGCTTTCATATCTCCCCTGATGTCAACATCAGTGCTGAATGGCCTGCGGGTCCAACCTTGGGAGCAGCAGCTTTCCCTGTCCAGTTCTTTGCATGGAAATTCCTCTAAAATGTGCCCCTTCCACTACCTTTCTGGGGCGTAGTCCCCCTCTGTGCCTGCAGCCCCCACTTCCAGCATACCAGAGTGTGACTGTAGTCCCTTAGCACAGACTCCTTCTTCGGTCTGGATGCTTCTCCCCATTGTCCACCACGCCTTTCACAGTGTCCATCACGTGATAGGAATACCCCCAACTATGTGACAGGTGAACGAGTCTCTCCATGAAACTTTCAGAATTCCTCTGCCCCAGATGGAAGACTCCATTTCCCCGTCTTCTCTACTCCAGCAGCCTTTGGATGTGCTTCCGTGAAGCCCTTCTGAGAGCCTGCCTTTAGCTGGGGTGATGGATGAAGCTGTTTTTCCTCATCGAGGGGGGTTGGGACTATGGGCTTTTCTTCTTTTTCACCCTCACAGCATTTCGTATAGAGCTATGTCTCAGACACCCTTTTTGAATTGAATTAGGTCTGAACCATCTGCAATAAGAAACATTTCTCTTCCCTGAAGGCAGAGGGTAAATCCGATTAGCTGATCTTTTCATTCTCCTCCAGCTCTCTAGTTTTCTCTCCAGGGCTGCCAGCCACCCTTGTGTTTAGGCTGGGATGTGCAGGGCTGGGGAGTGTTATAGGATGCCAGTAGGAGAGATCAGCTTTATAAAAGCTCAGAAAGAGGGCGTTTCTTGGTTGGTGCTGTAATGTGGAATGTTAGGGCCCTTCAGCGATTGATGCCACTTTCCTTGTTTGAATCCCATGGCCTGTTCACCTGGACTTGTCCTGTGGAGCCTGGAAAAGGCCTGCAGGGAGAACCTCAATCTGTCTGCATGGGGGGTGTGGCAGGCAAGCTTTAAATCAGAACCAAGGGCAGAAAAGCAATGAGTTTGGTGTCAAGCAGAGAGGACGCGTCTCTGTTAGCTGTGGGGTGTCACTCACTCCTAGGTTGTCTGATGAGAGTGCAGGAGATGCCTAACATGGCCTGAGCCTCTGAGCGGAGCGTTACTCAGAGCTCCTGGGGTCCAAACCAACTTCGGAATAAAGGAGAACGTATCAACTTGCATAACTGGAAGGCCACGAGGGGGTCAAGCCTGAGGCCTGGCTGCATTCAGTACAGATAATGTTGTCAGGGCTCTTTCACTCCTTTCCTAGCTCTCTTTCTCTCTCTGGGTTGGCTTTATTATCAGGCAGGCCTTTTTCTGCATAGTGGGAGAGATGGCTCCCAATAGCTCCAAGTATTTATCTTTACATCTCAGAACCCAAAGTAAGAACCCTCTGGTTCCCAGCCTTCACATGCCGAAACCGATGGGAGGGTTCCAGTTGGCCTCGCTCAGGTCCACTGTTTAATCCTTGGACCAATCATGGGTAGGAGAAGGGACACCATGACTGCCAGCTCTGTGGCTAGAGCACCGGGCAATTCTACTAGACCCCCACAGAAGGATGTGTTCTCAAAGGAAAGGGAGGCAGTAGGCAGACAGAAAGGACAGCTGACCAAGACCAAAAGGCCCATCTTAACGCACCTGGGGCTAGCGTGTGGGCTGCCAGGGTCTCCCTGCTCCCTGTCCCTCGAAGAAGGCTCTGATGACACTGTCTGTCCCCACCCAGCTGCCCCACCACCAGCTCTCTGAGCCAGCCTTCAGGAAGCTGGTGGAGGACACACTAGGCCAGGCTGCTCACCAGCTTCACTCCTTTCAAGAGAACTTCGAGAAAGTGCTACCACCTCCCACCATACAAGTAAGTGTCCCCCCTCCCCCGACAAAGACCGTCTAGTCCTTCACCTGCCAGTGGGGTGAGGCTCAGTCTCCTATTTCTTTTTCCAGTGAGGCCTGTTATCCATGGAAACTTTCTCCTGTTCCCTCTCTCCTTTCTTTCCGTGAGCTGGGGGGTAGGGGTCAGGTGGGATTCACACTCCCGTACACGCGTGTTCTTCATGACCCATAAACATAGAGCAGAACAGAATTCGTGGGTTGAGAATAAGAAAACCCAAACATTTTCATGTTAAGCGAAGTTAGGCATAATAATGGGCAAGTGACATTAACTCCAAAAACCTAGAACTTCTTCAAATTTGTCACCAAAATTTACCATTTCCTCGCCACCTTCTCAGTGAGCCTGCTTCCATTACCAGCCAGCACACGGGATGAATAAAAACTTTGAATAAGAAGTCATTTAAATTTTCTTTTTGCTATGGGATTTTAAAAATTAAAGTATACTTGACATATTATATTAGTTTCAGGTGTAGTCAACATTTATACACCTTACGATACAATCACCATGATAAGACCATCTGTCACTGTACAAAGTTATTATAATATTATTGAGTATTCCCTGTGCTGTACATTGTATCCCCATGACTTATTTATCTTATAACTAGAAGTTTGTATGCCAAGGAATCTTTAATTGCAAAAGACAGCATTTCAGCCACAATATGGTTTACAAAACTTTGGCTGGCCACATGCTTTTTTTGGTAAAGTATATTTATCTGAAATATAAGGAACTGGTATCTTCCAGTCCACTTGAAGAGTAGAGCCAAGTAGTGTATGTTTTCAAAGTAACTGAAGTAGCTGACGGGAAAAGGGGCTCCCAGAGTGTGACAAACCTGGGTTTGAGAAAACTGAAGTGTGTATTCAATCACATGTGAGATGTGAAGTTAGGGGTCAGGAGATAGCCCCAAGGTTCCCCAGAAAGGAGAAGGGTGCCCAGAGACACACAGAGACAGGTAAGGAGCCCCAGCACTGCGGGGCAGGTACAGGTAGTGTTCACACCTGGCCTGAGTGCAGAGGGCGTCACAGACCATGAGAGACGCATGTTCCTGGGGCCCAGCTGTCCCCACTCCCTCCCCCACACCGAGGCTGCCCCAGCAGAGGTCTCACTGGGGACGGGATGTGTGTGACATAGGCCCTTCAGCTTGGAGTAAGGAAGGATGCAGAAAATGAACAGAGCCGTTCCTCCAGTGAGTCATGGGAACCTCCTCTCTACTTAAAATAACAGTTTTCTTATTGGAAAAGCAATCCATGCTGAGTGTAGAAAAAAGAAGACTCAGAAAAACAAAAAGAAGAAACAAATGGGAATGTAATAATCCCAGTGTGTGTTTCAAATTGGTAGGAAGAGAAGGGACCCCTTCTCCCCCCTCCCCGCCCCTGCACACCCCTGACACACACACACACACACACACACACACACACACACACACCTCCTATAAATTCCTGACTTATTTGGCTAAGGGTACAGAGCCCATAAGAGTGAGGTAGCCTTCAGGACAGCAGCAATCCTAGTGACACCTTCACACGCCTCTCCCTGTCCCCATCCTGCTCCATTCAGGGAGTGCTGGTGTTCTCTACACAGGTAGGGGCTGCCAGACTTGGGAACGAAGGCACGCGTTTGCTACCCCACTGGCTTTTATACTCAGGTTAATACCACTGCTCTGGGAAAAAAGCTGGCCTGTCTCTGCACTTCCATTTAAGGGCCTATTTGAAACATCAGGTTCTCCTGGTTCTTGATCCTGACCCAGTGAATCCACTGGCGCACAGGTAATGGCAGAGTCTATGCCCAGATATCCCCGAAGGGCACCTCTGTCTACCTCCCTAAACCCAGCACCTCCCCACCCAGATATAACTAACAATGTAGAACATGGGGCAGGGGGAATATATATACATCCATACATGTAAGAAGAGAGAGAAAATATATAGTAAATCTACATTCAACATTTTTAGTTTCTTCTTTGTTTCTCAGAAAGGGGACAGTCACCCCTGAGTCCCTTTCTTGTTGATACTTTTGCTGGAAGCACTGAATGAAGAAACAAGGGCCCTGTCAGGAGATTCTCAGAGGAGCTTAAAAGCACCGCTGGGAGAACCACTCTCCCCAATAAGATGGCAGTTTCCATCAGGGCAAAGCTCCCTCTTGTGTTTCTGCCACACCATTCACAAGGGTACCGTGCCTTGTAAACAGTAGGTGCTTGATAAATACTTGGCGGACAGAAAACTCATGGACTAAAAGGCAGAATTCCCTTCCTGCATAGATGTGGGAGGGTCTCCCTGTGTCTGCCCTGTGCTGGCTGGCTAAGATGCCGGATGAGGAAGGTCTGGGGCCCTCGTGAAGCTCACAGTCTAATGGGGTTGAAAGACTTATGCAAGGCATTTTCCTGGGGGGTAACTTAACTTGGAGCTGTGGACAGAAAATGGGCCCTGTCCTGGAGTTCTGTAACTGAGCAATTTCAGAACCTGAATTAGAATTGTGGAAAACCCCAGTAGTGTAGACCTGGAAGGGATTTTGGAGGTTCTTTCGGAGATGCCTTTAGATACTGAGCATGTGTTTCTCACCCAGTCCAGACGACATCTGTTAGTCAGGGACTATTGCCCCAGTCGGGACGGGCCCATCAGGGACGGGTAAGATGGGGTCTGCCCAGGACTCCTGGCTCTCACATGAGGGCAAACACCGGCCCCAGCTTTGACGCGCTAACTCAAGCACCTGTCTGTCTCTGTCTCTCCTCTTCTCAGCCACTCCTGCCGGGGGCTGAACGCCAGGTGCAGGCTCTTCTGAGCAGGTATGGCCCAGGAAAGCTGTACCAGGTGACAAGCAACATCAGCGGGACAGGGACCCTGGACCTAACACTGCTGCGGGGCCAAATTGTGGCGCTCCTTCAAAACAAGGACACCAAAGGCAACAGCAACCGCTGGCTGGTGGACACCGGGGGTACGTGGGACTTCATGGACTCTTCCCCCACTCTGGGAAAGCCACTAGTGGGGAGACAAGGGGACCCTCATGAGCTCTGGCTGAGCAAATCCAGGATGAGAATGAGCACAGTTGAAAATGCAGGGCTAGGGGCTCAGCCAGCTTAGTGGGGGGCATGAAATGCCAGAAAGAGGAGTTGAGTCTTTCCCTGCAACATCCGTGATCAAGCACCTACTGTGTGCTGGGCACTGTGCGAGGAAGACAAGGAGCCTACCCCGGGAACCTCGCAGATCATCGGGGTGGACAGAACTTCAGCATCACCCTGAAAGATGGAGGTTCACAGAGAAGGGCTGCTTGGATCCCGGCTCCATGGACAGACGTCTCATGTCTGGTGCAAGGGAGGTGTTATATTGTCCCCTCTGCACTGGTTACACCCTAGGGGTGTGCTGCTCAGGTTTGGGTGCCCCAGTGAAACTGGGCAGGGGCAAGTGGCAGCGTGAATCCGGGAGGAGATGGCCCAGCCGAGTGTCTTCCCAAGATGGCATGTGACCCACAGGATGAGGGTTATACAGGATTGTTAGGAGGGTATCTACCGACAGAGTCCCGGCTTCAAACAGTTTGTTATTATAATTGTTACTTAATGACTTTAACGTGTGTTGGAAAAAAACATAACTAGTACATAAACCCATAACTTTATTCATATTGTATAGTACAAGAAAAGTTTTAAAAAGTGAGTCTATTAAAAAATTAAGAAAATGGGGGCCGGCCGAGTGGCGCGATGGTTAAGAGCTGGCTTGGGATGCCAGAGGGCCCCGGTTCGGATCCCACATATGAGGGCCAGTGACACTGCCCTCTACAGCTAAGATGCTGAACAACAGCTCGACCTGGAGCTGGGCTGCTGTGAGTCGCCAGTGAGGGCCGTAGGCTGCAGCCCCTGTGGCAGTGGGTTGCCATGGGCTACTGTGTGTGGCCAGCAGCCAGCGTGAGCGGCCAGCAGCCGCCGTGAGCGGCCGTCCAGAAGCCGGCGACTGATCTGCCTCGCCCGGAAGAGCGCAATGATGGTGCCAACTTGGGCCAGTGAAGCAACATCCTCCACAACTAGACTAAAGAGCAAAACGACAGCAACTTGTCTGTTCCCCTCCCCCAATTCCCCAGCACTGTTCCCATCCCATTCCCCAATAAAAATCTTTAAAAAAAAAAATAAGAAGATGGTACAAATCCAGCAGAAATCATGATTCACACTGAAGGATAGCTGGATGGCGGCTCATGCAAGGCCCCTGGGGTTGAGGGGACTGGGTGTGGTTCCCAACTCTGCCACGTTTCTAACCGCATGACCTGGGAGGTTGCGGAGCCTCTCAGAGCTCGGCTGGCTCAGCAGTAAAACGGAGATAGCAGTACTGACCCGAGGTGACGTGAACACCAGATAATCAATGCCGGTTCTGGCACCAAGGGCACCCTCAGGAAGTGGTGGGCGTTCGTAATGCACAACCAGAGCAGCAACGGAGCAATTATGACGGGAGAAGGAACCAGGGGCACTTGGAGAAGAAAAAGGCAGTTTTTTAGGTGCGAGGAAGCAACCTAGCTCAGTGCTGCCACTAGAGGGGAAGGGGACCTGTGGTGTCAGCACCAGGAAAGCAGTTTTCATCCCAGAGGAAGAACTTTTTCTCTCTGCCAGAGATGTTCAAAATGGAGTGGGCTGCCTCTGTAGGGAGTGAGCTCCCCGTCACCAGGGGTGTGCAAGCAGACGGTGGAGACAGTGCAGGGTGGGGGGTGGGTTTGTGAGGTTCCTAGATGCCCTTTTCAGGCCCTCTGGAGTGCTAAGAAGCTGTGTTGGAGGCATTGACATTTATAAATGGTGGTGACTTCCTCTATCACTAAAAGGGATGGAGAAGGTGGCCCACAGCCAGATAACAGTCTGCATGTCCTGTAGGACAGCGAGGGTACGTGCCAGCTGGGAAACTGGAGCTGTACCATGTCGTCCCTGGTGAGGAGAAGCTCAGAGGGCAGGCGGGGCCTCCAGAGGACTCCCGACGTCTAACACCAGAGCCCACCCCAGCCCTAGTCCCCTCCGTCCCAACTGGGTCCCAGGTGAGTCTGGGAGAGCGTGGAGGTGTGCCTTCTAATGGCCACCGGAAGTGGGGCTTCGATTTTCCTCCTATCCAGAGGGGCCACTACCCTGTGAGGCCAGGGCCTCGATCAGAGGCCACACCAGTGTCCTGGCCGGGGGTGGGGACCTGAAGAAAGGAAGTGCCGATACATGCTACCACAGGTAGGTAGACACAGAAGGCCGCGGCTTGTAGGATTCTATTGATATGAAATGCCCAGCATAAGCAAATGCATAGAGACAGAAAGTAGATCGGTGGTTGGCAGGGGCTGGGGCAGGGGGAATGGGTCATGACTGCTAACTGGTGTGGGGTTTCTTTTTTGGGGTGATGAACGTGTTTTGGATTAGACAGCAGTGATAGCTATACAACCTCGTGGACACATTCTAAAAAACTACCTGTGTGATTTTGCATAAGTTCCTTGGCTTCTCTGAGTCTCAGTTTCCTTATCCAAAAAACGAGTTATTGAATTGTGAAAATCAGAACCAGGCAAAGTGCTAGAACGGAGCCTAGTGATGGAAGCAGCAGAAGTAGCCGTTATCTTCAGCACAAAGGATGTATGTGTGTGGGAGGCGATGACTGGCCAGCAGTGGGGACTGGGTTGGCTGGGCTCCTCTGGGCTGGGTCTGTCTGGCTTCCCACCCTCACCATCTCTGTGTCACTCTTATGTTTCAGGTGGTGGCAGTGTACCCCTTTGTGGCCAGAAACAGCCATGAAGTGAGTCTGCAAGCAGGCCAGCCTGTGACGGTCCTAGAGGCCCAGGACAAGAAGGGGAACCCAGAATGGAGCCTCGTGGAAGTGAATGGACAGAGGGGATATGTGCCTTCCAGCTTCCTGGCCAGGGCCCCAAGCCCGATGCCTTGGGGCTGGAGTTTGCCCTCCTAGGGTGCCTTCCTCAGAGCCCATGCTGCCGAAGGATGGGGAGGCTTAGAGGCTGTGACCCCAGGAGGGAAGACAAGGCGGGGCGGAAGGGGCCATCAGGCCAGGGTGGGGTGAAGGGCACGCAGGAGGCAGACAGAAGAGGTGGGCGGGCCTTTGCAAACTGCCTGGCACGGGTGGGCACGAAAGGCAGCAGTTGGGAACCACTTATGGTATCTCTGTAAAGAGGTCATTGCAACCTGCAGTCCATAGCCTGGGTGGCAGGCCACGTTGGTAAGAACTTGCCATGGCTAATGGCCAGTCTTACCTGTGACCCCATCTGGACCTGCTCATGGAGTGGGTCTCCCAGGCGAATGTTACCTGTGTGCTAGGTAGGGGTGCTAGAGAATCCTAGAACTGCCTGGCTTGACAGTTCACTTACTACATGTGATATCAGGAGGCACCGTAGCTGACCAGTCATCTTTTATGTCTCTGTACTGGGAGCTGCGTTACCTTGGGCAGTGAACCCCAGAGGGCCTTCTCTAGCTGGAGAGGTTCCCAGGAGACCCTTGCCTGGGCCTGGGAGTGGGCATGACCAAATCACAGTTCTGGGATGTGTGTAGGAAAATTCAGAGCCTGTTCCAGGGGAGAAGGGATTTTGAGGGTGTGTTCGTTTGGGCATATGAGGCTGTTGGCAGCAGTTGTACTCTGCTGCTGTGTTCTCTGGACTAGGGGACAAAGAGGCATGCAAATCACAGAGGAAACTGTGAAGCAGGTGATCACAGGCCTGGTGGTGGGGGAGATTAGGTAATGGCTTGGTTTCCTGTTTCTGGAAGGAAGGGAGCCAGGGGGAACCCCCAGTAGTTTCAGGAGGCAACGGTTGTGATGTCAGTTGGCTGTGGGACCTTAGACATAGGACACGACCCCTGTTCTCCCACCCATAAAAACCTAACCTAGGGTTGTGGCGAGAATGACATGAGGCTAATGATGTGCACGCTCCTTGCAAATTGTGAAGTGTAAATAAATGTAAATGACCATAGGTAGCAGGATATTCGGGAAGTGGTCTCCGTATGGCCCCAGCACTTGCATCCATGCTCCACTTCCCATGCCCGAACCCACGGCAGATGTCATTCATCAACGTGGTGTCCATTCCCACCAGCCTAGGCTCTACCACAGGAGCCTTCTCAATACTGCATTCCAGGTAGCCAAACTCTTGAATTTGGTGAGATCAAACCTATTAGCATTCCTTTCTAGAACCTGAAAACGGAAGCCCCTCAAAACGGCTCTGTTCAAGAAAGACTGACTCATTGGGGAAATTTTGGGTTCAGCTGCTATTGAATTATCATCTTTAGGTTGTCACTCTGGGCTTAAGGTAAATCGTAAGATTCATAGAAGAGCAAAGAGATCCAGCATGATCTTTAATACAAATGACAAATTTTGGAACCAACCCAAGTTAGAGTGTGTGTAAAAACAGGTGGAAGTTAAGACTCACCCCCAAGAACAGCTCTATGTTATTAAACTGTAAGCCCTGGTGTTTAGAGGGCTTTTAAGAAATATAGACATGTCTGTGTCAGACAGCTTGTAACTCACCACCTTTGGGCTTGTGAAAACGTGAAGACTGCATAATGCTAGAGAAACTCAGTCCCCATAATCCCTCTCCCAGCCCCACATTCACTTTACAAGATGCTCTTGACTCATTTTTCTTTTTCTTTCCTGCTCAGATTCCTGATACAGATAGGAAGCATAAGGGAGCAGATAATAAGATAAGAAACCCATTTGTGGCTCCACAATACTTACCGAGAGCCTGCTGTGTGCTAGGACCCTACCTAGCTCAAAAGTTTCTCCATGTGGCCGCTTACTGCCGTCACCTGGGCAGCTTTCAAGTATGGCTGAGGCCAGGACCCCACCTGGGGATTCTGATGTAATTTTTCTGGGGGTGTGGCCTGAGCCTCAGGAACTCAGAAGGCTCTCCAGCTGATGAGTGTGTGGCCAGAGTGGGGGACCTCTGACCTAGACACGCGGTGGTGGACAAGCGACTTGGGGATCAGAAATGGCCATAAGCTATACGCTAGGACATGCCCCTTCTCAGCTTTGTACTAGCTCAGATGTTTTGAACAGGCAGCTTTAGAGGTGGTTTGAAGTAGGACAGCCTGTCCTGTCAGGTCCCAGAATGTATATTTATTAAGTGCCATTAGAAGGGACCTGAACAAAATTGGATGTTCTTGTAGGCAGAAAGGAGAAAACTGAAATACACTTGGAACAAAATCTATCTCATGAAGGGAAAATTAAAATGTATTCAGTAGCACATGGATTACAGTTTCTTGTGGACCAGGGGATGAGATTAAAAGTCTCTGAAGGGTGAGAAAATGCATATTGAGAAGATAGAGAATGGCCTGGATTTTCTCCAGGGGACTCTCTATAACGTGCCTTTTCCCCCCAAAATGCCTAGAACCATTGCACTGTGTCTTGTTTAGTTCACTGTTAGGCTGTCACATATTGAACCTGCTAAGGTATTTGCCTATGAACCCAACTAGACTTTAGGGGTTGAAGACTGATTCACAGGGGTGCTCCTTACTACCTGCAGGGGAGTGAGACCTCTTTAACTTTTTGGGCCCCAGCCCCGTTTTGGACATGAGGACAAGATTACAATCTCAAAGATCAGATGAGTGAATTCTTGGTTAATATAATGAGCTCTGGCTTGGTGAATAACTGATGTGAACTACTGGGAATAAAGGACTTCAAAGATGAATACGTCTCTGGAATCTGTGTCACTTTAACCATTGGATAGTCAGATACTCCAGTGTGACATTTGTTCACTGAACACTTACATAAAAATGGTCCCTCATTCATCGATGTGTTCATATAAGGAGTGTCGATAGCACACCTTTGGTGCCTCTAGGAGTTGGTCTTCACTGCTGGGAATACAGCGAGCAATCAGACACATGGGGGCCCTGTCCTCCCAAAGCCCACAGTCTGTTGAAGGAGACAAGTCAACAGTCAGAGGCGGTGTAAGCGTTAGGAGGGGCAATACCAGGTGCCGCTGGAGCCTAGGCAAGGGGCCAGCTAAGGAGGGCTTCCTGAAAGAAGTGATGTCCAAGCTGAGGCCCAATGGGTAACTGCAGTTAGGGGAAGTTGGGAGGCAGGGCATGTGCAAATGCCCAGAGGTAAGAGTGACTGCCTCGGTGTCCTGAATCGATTCAAAACGTTTACCTTTCATGGTCATATGTACCACCTCCCCTTTGTTCATCCATTGATGGACACCTTGGCTTCCTCCACGTTTTGGCCACCAAACAATGCTGCAATGAATATATGGATGCACATGTCCCCTCTAAGTAGCATTTTGGGTTTCTTGGGGAAAATGCCCTGAAATGAGATTACTGTGTCCTTCTTTGTCTCTTATAGCCTTTGTTTTAAAGTCTATTTTGTCTGGAATAAGTATTGCTACCCCAGCTTTTTTTTCCCCCCCGTTTTCATGAAATAACTTTTTTCATCCCTTTACTTTCTGTCTGTGTGTGTCTTTCAATCTGAAGTGAGACTCTTGTAGGCAGCATATGTAAGGGTTTTGTTTTTTTAAATTCATTTAGCCACCCTATATTTGTCATTGAAGCATTTAACCCACTTACATCGAACACAATTGTTGACAGATAGTTATTGCCATTTTATTATTCATATATATTTTTTAAGATTTTATTGAGGAATTGGGGAGGGGAACAGACAAGTTGCCGTCCTTTTGTCCTTCAGTCTAGTTGTGGAGGATGTTGCTTCACTGGCCCATGTTGGTATTATCATTGCACTTTTCCCAGGTGAGGCAGATCAGTTGCCAGCCACTGGATGGCCGCTAATGGTGGCTCTTGGCAGCTGATGCCGGCTGCTGGCCACTCATGCCAGCTGCCAGCCTCTCACAGTAGTTCACGGCAGCACACTGCAGCCCCACTGCAGCCTACGCCATCTCCGGCAATTCACAGCAGCCCCAGTTCCAAGCTGTTGTTCACCATCTTAGCTGTAGAGGGCGCAGCATCACTGGCTCTAATGTGGGATCCAAACAGGGGCCCTGCTGCTCAGAGCTGGCGTCCCAAGCCAACTCTTAACCAGCGCACCACTCAGTCGGCCCATATTACTCATACTTTTTATCTTTTTTTTTTCCATCTTAAAAAAGTCCCTCTAACATTCTTGTAATACTGGTTTGGTGGTGATGAACTCATTTAGCTTTTTCTTGTCTTTTTAGCTCTTTATTTGTCCTTCAATTTTAAATGATAGCCTTGCTGAGTGGAGTACCCTTGATTGTAGGTCCTTGTTTTTCATCACTTTGAATATTTCATGCCAATCCCTTCTGGCCTGCAAAGTCTCTGTTGAGAAATCAGCTGACAGTCTTATGGAAGCTCCCTTGTGATAACTAACGGCTTTTCTTTTCCTGCTTTTAGGATTTTCTCTTCATCTTTAACCTTTGCCATTTTAATTATAACATGTCTTGGTGTGGGCCTGTTTGGGTTCATCTTTTAGGGGACTCTCTGTGCTTCCTGGGCTTGTATGTTTATTTCCCTCACCAGGTTAGGAAAGTTTACAGTCATTATTTCTTCAAATAGATTCTCAATCCCTTGCTTTCTCTCTTCTCCTTCTGGTACCCCTATGATGCGACTGTTGTTATGTTTGATGTTGTCCCAGGGGTCTCTTAAACTATCCTCATTTTTTTGGATTCTTTTTTCTTTTTGCTGTTCTGATTGGGTGTTTTCTGCTACCTTGTCTTCCAAGTCATGATTCAATCCTCTGCTTCATCTACTCTGCGGGTGGTTCCTTCTAGTGCATTCCTCATGTCAGTTATTGTATTCTTCACTTCTGACTGGTTCTTTTTTATGGTTTCTATGTCCTTTTTTAATGCTTGCTTCTCTTTGTTGAACTTCTCACTACATTTCTTGAGCATCCTGATAACCATTGTTTTGAACTGTCTCTGGTAGGTTGCTTGCCTTCATTTTGTTTAGTTCTTTTTCTGGAGTTTTCCCTTGTTCTTTCATTTGGGACATATTTCTGTGTTTCCTCATTTTGGCTGCCTCTCTGTGTTTATTTCTATGTATTAGGTAGGACCACTATGTCTCCCAGTTTTGCCAGATGGCCTTAAGTAGTAGGGGTCCTATGGGGCCCAGTAGCAGTCTCCTTGGTCACCTGAGCTGGGTGCTCCAGGAGTGTCCCTTGTGTGGGTTGTGTGTGCCCTCCTGTTATAGTTGAGCCTTGATTGCTGTTAGCATGTCAGTAGGTGGTATTGGCTCTCAGGCTGACTGGCTGTGGGGTTGGGCAATGTCCACAGCTTATGGGCTGCTGTATATGGGACTGACCCCACTGAGTAGGATTCACCCCAGCAAGCTCTGGTGCCTGTTGAGACTGCTCTTTGTGTGTGCCTTTTGTGGAGCTAGTTGGGTGGTGCTTTGCTGTGGTCTGAAGCCAACCTCCAAGTATGTTGGTTCTGGAGCCTCTTGGGAGGTGCTCTGGTACAGGCCTAGGTAAGCTACTGCCTGTGACTGGCTGGGAAGTGCCTGTAGGAGCTACAAAGCAATCCATGGTTGGTCGCTACCTGTGCTGTACCTGGAGGCACATGGGAGAGGATACACTGTGAACCGAGGACGTCTGCCACCAGTACCAGATCTGGGGTAGTTCTGCAAAAAGCAAGGACACTCTGAAGCCTACTACCGTAACCTGCTGGCTCCCATAAGGTTCAGCTGCTGATAAAGCCTCCAGTAGTACATGAGTTGGGTGGAGGCAGGGTCTCAGTGAGTCAGCAGGGTGGAGCAGTGGAGCTCATCGGGCCAATCAGATTCAGAATTGGCCTATGAGGGTGGGCTCAACACAGGAAAGATGGTGCCCACCAACTGGCTGCATCGAAGGAGGACCCCATACAGGGAAAAATGGGGACTGTTCCTCCAGTCTTCGCCCTGAAGTTACACAAGTCATTTTCTCCCCATATGTCTCCAATGCCCCCAGAGTCACTGCCCCTCTACTGGAGCCCAGAGTGAGTGCTTGTGCGGGTCCTTTAAGAGAAGATCTGGGTTTCCTACAGTCTTCTGTCCCACCCAGATGGTCGGATTCCCAGTGTTTTTCACAGCCAGATATTGTGGGGGCTCCTCTTCCCGGCACTAGTACTCCAGGCTGGGGAGGCTAGTGTGAGGCTGGGGCCCCTTACTCCTCCGTGGGGAACCTCTGTGGCCAAGATACCCTCCTAATTGGCATACGCCACACGGAGGTTTGGGGTCGGCTAGTTTTGCATCTCCACTTCTTCTACCATTCTCGATGTGGCATCTTCTTATATCCTTAGTTATAAAACTTCAGATGGTTCTCCAGGTTGATTACTTTATAATTTAGCTGTAATTTTGATGTGTTCACGGGATGAAGCAAGCACGTTTATCTACTCCGCCATCTTGGATCTCCTGATCAAAACACTTCTCTCGTTCGTCTGTTTTCTTATCAGTAATTTCTGAACTTACCTTTTCTGTGTTGTCATCTGTAAGATGAGTACAATGCCTACTCACTGGGTGGATGAGAGGAGTAAATGAAACATTCAGCATGAATGGCTATGGACCACATCAGGACTACATGAGGGAACATATGAACTGTGACCACCAGGTGGCAGCAGAGCTCCACCATTCAGCTGAGAGGAGGTTGCCCTGGAGTCAAATTGAAACGCTCGCTGTTGCTGGGCAGGTGGTACAAATGAGAGGAAGGGCCAGGTGAAAGGCATTAGGGCGTGGTGGGGACTGTGTTGAACCCAAGCATACATGCTCAATCTAAAGGAGCAGCTTCTTCACTCCAACCTATGTTGCCACATCAGAATGAGGGCCTAGTGGTGCCAGGAATGCTGATTTTTCAAAAGAAGCCAGAAACCAGGGTTTTGTTTATTTTAATCTTTTGATGTGAAGCCTTCTGTGTGAGATTGTATAGGTGGAGGATATCCTCTGAAGAATTAGTTTCACATCTTTATATTTCCTGTGAAATCCATTCCTCTGTCTTCACTTGACTCACTCCTTCATCAGACATTAATTTCCCTTCCTTACATCTCTGGGGAACACTGTTTCCTTTTATGCTATTGTTACTGTTGTGTTGTCTCAAGCATATATTAGATGATGGGCAATATTTTCTGACTCACCCATGAGGATCTCCATAGTGCCTATCTTACAAGGCTTTTTTGAGGATCAAATGGAGATACTGATATAAAATCACTTAGCCTGGCAGCTGGCTCATTAGTAATCAACAAACACAGTTATCATGATTATGAAGACTTTAGAAGAGATGGCATGACATTTGGAGGAAGGTTTTCAGGGCCTGTCTCTCTCTGGGATGGTGACAGGCAGATGGGCCTGGCCACTCCCCTATGTAGGTGAAGCCCCCTGATCCTGGCTCCTGAGGACCTGGCTGGGGTTGGCTGTCCCACCCCAAAGGCACTGGG